TGTTCGGCAAGGGTGGAAACTGGACTTTTATAGTCAAGCAATATTAGGACTGTAACATAAACGTATCCATGTCATGTTCAAGACATTAATATTACCCCAAAGTGTTGAAAGATTTCAATGTAATAATGCTCTTTTATATGCACATGTGGGTTTTCATAATTTTCAGTGTTGATTGGTAGCTCGCAAAAACATGAGATAATTAGCCATCACTTATTGCCAGTTGGTTAGTCTCTATGGACAACAGTTTTGTGTGTGGATGATGAGTGTTGAGATGCTGGCTTGTTTTCCAGGACTGCAAAAACTTAGGTGCCCGGAACGTGTGCGTCATGACGGACAGCAATCTGGTCGACCTGCCCCCGGTCAAGATGGCCCTGGAGTCGCTCGACAGACAGGGCATCCCCTACCAGGTGTACGACCAGTGCCGTGTTGAACCCACGGATGAGAGGTATTACAACAATACATTCCCCAAACACTCAGCATACAGCCTTGGATACCTGAGTCGCTGACTGATGACTGGAGACCTCTGTCAAGTTTAGGTGGCCCAGTCATCTAGCATGCTATAATACTGTGTGCAACGTTGGCATGCCAGAAACCTGGTGGGTTTGAATCTCAGTTCACCCTGAGTATGTTTTTCACCATACATGTACAGTGTACTTGTGGGTCTCGCCAAGTTGTAGACATCTGAGACCTGCATCACTTCTGGCTTTCCTCCTGCTTGAAGCTGCCGTACTTTCTATGATTTATATAGATAAACATTCTGTCAATCAAGTCTGTCAAACATTTGCTTTGAATTTCCAGTTTCAAAGCTGCTATCAGATTCGCGAAGGAGGGTGATTTTGACATGTATCTGGCTGTGGGAGGCGGGTCTGTCATGGATACGTGCAAGGCCGCCAACCTGTATGCCACCAACCCCAGCGCCGATTTCCTTGACTACGTGAACGCACCGATTGGGAAAGGCCTGCCTGTCACACACACACTGAAACCACTGATAGCTGGTGAGAGGGGGAGTTATCAGTCTCAACCACCCACCCACTCACTCACTCACTCACTAACTCATGTGTCCACTCATTCAGTCACTCACTCACTCAACCACTCAACCACTCACTAACTCATGTGTCCACCCACCCACTCACTCACTCACTCACTCACTCACTCAACCACTCACCCACTCACTCACTCAACCACTCAACCACTCAACCACCCACCCACCCACCCACTCACTCACTCACTAACTCATGTGTCCACTCACTCACTCAACCACTCAACCACCCACCCACCTACCCACTCACTCACCCACTCACCCACTCAACCACCAACCCACCAACCCACCAACCCACTCACTCACTCACTCACTCACTCACTCACTCACTCACTCACTCACTCACTCACTCACTCACTCACTCATGTGTCCACTCACTCACTCACTCACTCACTCACTCACTCATGTGTCCACTCACTCACTCACTCACTCACTCACTCACTCACTCACTCACTCACTCACTCACTCACTCACTCACTCACTCACCCACTCACTCACTCACTCACTCACTCACTCTGACCAAAGTGTTCTTCATTTCCAGTCACTACAACAGCTGGTACCGGCAGCGAGACAACCGGGACGGCAGTGTTTGACCTCCTGGAACTCAAAGCCAAGACAGGTCTGTCAATAGAAATAAGGTCTGGGTACCCTCACTCACTCACTACTATCTGGGTACCCAACCCCTATTACCCGACCCTACCCGGGTACCCGCTGTAGGTATCAAGAAATAGGTAAAATTGTCCGATTGGGAATAGTTTGACCGTAGCCCTGGCAAAGTGTATATAGATATTCCTATAAAACGATCTGGTCATGCATACACTGAATTTTTGTCTCCATTCAAACATATAAACTGAAGGAATGCATGCACAGACAGAAAGAAATGCAAACAGTAGTCACTCATGGTGTAACCGTGGAAAGTCTAGATAATTTTGGCCATTAAACAATATATCATGTGACTACCCACGGGTCCAGTTAGTCCTTTGGGTATCCTGGTCCTACGCAGGAACCACCCGACCCAAGTACCCGAGTTACCCGTCCCAGCCCTAATAGAAATGTTCCTACTTGTTAATAGTCGAGAAAGTGGTGAGAAGTAAAGGCAGAAAGTGAATTGTTTACAGTTTGCTGCCTCAGTTTATAGAAGGAATTTCTTAAGTGGGGGTAACTCTTCATTCACCATTTCATTTGCTGTTGGCTAGAAAGTCCCGCCCAGTTATTCCCCAGTGCTGTGTCTGTCATGCAGGGATATCCCAGCGGGCGCTGCGTCCGACGCTTGGCATCGTGGATCCCCTTCATCTGATCTCTCTCCCCGAGCGTGTAATGGCCTACAGCGGCATCGATGTCCTGTGGTTAGTCGTTGCTGTTGGGTGTGAGGAAGTTGCTGTTGTGTGATGAAGTTGTTGTTGTGTGTGATAATGTGCAGTTGTGTGAGATGAAGTTGCTGTTATGTGAGATGAAGTGCTGTTGTGTGAGATGAAGTGCTGTTGTGTGAGATGAAGTTTTTGTGTGTGATAATGTGCTGTTGAGTGTCGTGAAGGTGCTATTGTGTGAGATGAAGTTGCTGTTGTGTGATGAAGTGCTGTTGTGTGTGATGAAGTTGTTGTTGTGTGTGATAATGTGCTGTTGTGTGAGATGAAGTTGCTGTTATGTGAGATGAAGTGCTGTTGTGTGAGATGAAGTGCTGTTGTGTGAGATGAAGTTTTTGTGTGTGATAATGTGCTGTTGAGTGTCGTGAAGGTGCTATTGTGTGAGATGAAGTTGCTGGTGTGTGAGGAAGGTGCTGTTGTGTGAGATGAAGTTGCTGTTGTGTGATGAAGTGCTGTTGTGTGAGATGAAGTTGCTGTTGTGTGATGAAGTGCTGTTGTGTGAGATGAAGTTTCTGTTGTGTGTGATGCAATTGCTGATTTCTGATATCAAGTATGCTGTTGTGTGAGATGAAGGTGTTGTTATGCGAGATGAAGTTTGCTGTTGTGTGAGATGAAAGTGTTATGTGAGATGAAGTTTGCTGTTGTGTGTGATGAAGCTGCTGTTGTATGTGATGAAGTTTGCTGTTGTGTGAGATGAAGTAGCTGTTGTATGTGATGAAGTAGCTTTTGTGTGTGATGAAGCTGCTGTTGTGAGATGAAGTAGTTGTTGTGTGTGATGAACCTGCTGTTGTGTGATGAAGTAGTCGTTGTGTGTGATGAAGCTGCTGTTGTGAGATGAAGTAGTTGTTGTGTGTGATGAAGCTGCTGTTGTGTGATGAAGTAGTTGTTGTGTGTGATGAAGCTGCTGTTGTGAGATGAAGTAGTTGTTGTGTGTGACGAAGCTGCTGATGTGTGATGAAGTAGTTGTTTTGTGTGATGAAGCTCCTGTTGTGTGATGAAGTAGTAGTTGTGTGTGATGAAGCTGCTGTTGTGAGATGAAGTAGTTGTTGTGTGTGATGAAGCTGCTGTTGTGTGATGAAGTAGTTGTTGTGTGTGATGAAGCTGCTGTTGTGAGATGAAGTAGTTGTTGTGTGTGATGAAGCTGCTGTTGTGAGATGAAGTAGTTGTTGTGTGTGATGAAGCTGCTGTTGTGTGATGAAGTAGTTGTTGTGTGTGATGAAGCTGCTGTTGTGTGATGAAGTAGTTGTTGTGTGTGATGAAGCTGCTGTTGTGTGATGAAGTAGTTGTTTTGTCTGATGAAGCTGCTGTTGTGTGATGAAGTAGTTGTTGTGTGTGATGAAGCTGCTGTTGTGTGATGAAGTAGTTGTTGTGTGTGATGAAGCTGCTGTTGTGTGATGAAGTAGTTGTTGTGTGTGATGAAGCTGCTGTTGTGAGATGAAGTAGTTGTTGTGTGTGATGAAGCTGCTGTTGTGAGATGAAGTAGTCGTTGTGTGTGATGAACCTGCTGTTGTGTGATGAAGTAGTTGTTGTGTGTGATGAAGCTGCTGTTGTGTGATGAAGTAGTTGTTTTGTCTGATGAAGCTGATGTTGTGTGATGAAGTAGTTGTTGTTGTGTGATGAAGCTGCTGTTGTGTGATGAAGTAGTTGTTGTGTGTGATGAAGCTGCTGTTGTGTGAGATGAAGTAGTCGTTGTGTGTGATGAAGCTGCTGTTGTGTGATGAAGTAGTTGTTGTGTGTGATGAACCTGCTGTTGTGTGATGAAGTAGTTGTTGTGTGTGATGAAGCTGCTGTTGTGAGATGAAGTAGTTGTTGTGTGTGATGAAGCTGCTGTTGTGAGATGAAGTAGTTGTTGTGTGTGATGAAGCTGCTGTTGTGTGAGATGAAGTAGCTGTTGTGTGTGATGAAGCTGCTGTTGTGAGATGAAGTTTGCTGTTGTGAGATGAAGTTTGCTGTTGTGTGTGATGAAGCTGCTGTTGTGTGAGATGAAGTAGCTGTTTTGTGTGATGAAGCTGCTGTTGTGTGAGATGAAGCTGCTGTTGTGTGATGAAGTAGTTGTTTTGTCTGATGAAGCTGATGTTGTGTGATGAAGTAGTTGTTGTGTGTGATGAAGCTGCTGTTGTGTGATGAAGTAGTTGTTTTGTCTGATGAAGCTGATGTTGTGTGATGAAGTAGTTGTTGTGTGAGATGAAGTAGCTGTTGTGTGTGATGAAGCTGCTGTTGTGAGATGAAGTTTGCTCTTGTGTGAGATGAAGTTTGCTGTTGTGAGATGAAGTTTGCTGTTGTGTGAGATGAAGTTTGCTGTTGTGTGAGATGAAGCTGCTGTTGTGTGAGATGAAGTTTGCTGTTGTGTGAGATGAAGTTTGCTGTTGTGTGAGATGAAGCTGCTGTTGTGTGAGATGAAGTAGCTGTTGTGTGAGATGAAGTTTGCTGTTGTGTGAGATGAAGTTTGCTGTTGTGTGAGATGAAGCTGCTGTTGTGTGAGATGAAGTAGCTGTTGTGTGAGATGAAGTTTGCTGTTGTGTGAGATGAAGCTGCTGTTGTGTGAGATGAAGCTGCTGTTGTGTGAGATGAAGTAGCTGTTGTGTGAGATGAAGTTTGCTGTTGTGTGAGATGAAGCTGCTGTTGTGTGAGATGAAGCTGCTGTTGTGTGAGATGAAGTTTGCTGTTGTGTGAGATGAAGTTTGCTGTTGTGTGAGATGAAGTTTGCTGTTGCCAGCCATGCCCTGGAGTGCTACACGACCATGAGTTACACGGACAGAGACCGGCCAAGCAACCCCCAACTGCGCCCCGCTTACCAAGGATTCAATCCCATCAGTGACATCTGGGCTCAGCACGCTCTCCGCATGACGGCCAAGTATATCAAGAGGTGAGTTGAGTGGAGTTACACTCACTCGTGAATTCTGGTTTGCCCTGATTATGTTTCTAGATTTGTCAGCACTATACACAGGCCCATGGGCTTCACAAAAGTGTTGGACGTCAATACCTGCATCACTTCAGATTTTCCTCCGTGTTGACTGTGATATAACTGAACTAATAATCCAAACTTTGTTCCAACTCACTCACTCACTCACTATTCTGAGGAATCTATTTTTAGCCGATAGTGTTATTAGGATTTATTTTACTTGGATGAAATTGTGTGATGTGTAATAGTAGTGAGATATTGTGTGATGTGTAATAGTAGTGTGATATTGTGTGATATGTAATAGTAGTGTGATATTGTGTGATGTGCAATAGTAGTGTGATATTGTGAGAAGACCGCCTCCGTGGTCTTGTGGTAGAGCGTCCGCCCGGAGAGCGGAAGGTCCAGGGTTCGATCCCGGGCCGCGTCATACAAAAAGACGTTAAAAGATTGTACTTGTTGTTACCCTGTCTGGCGCTCGGCATTAAGGGGCTAAAACAAGGACTGGTCGGCTCGGAGTCAGTATACTGTGTCTGAGTGGGGTATTCATGTTAAACTGCGGCATGGTATCTCAGTGAGCTAGCACTATAAATCGGCATCAGTCCGGACTAGTACAAGCAGCCACACACACACATACACGTGCATGCACGTCGCTATATAAGTGCAATAATCTTGGACGCGACGTTAAACCCAATTTCACCTCACCTGATATTGTGAGATGTGTAATAGTAGTGTGATATTGTGTGATATGTAATAGTAGTGTGATATTGTGTGATGTGTAATAGTAGTGTGATATTGTGTAATGTGTAATAGTGGTGTGATATTGTGTGATATGTAATAGTAGTGTGATATTGTGTGATGTGTAATAGTAGTGTGATATTGTGTAATGTGTAACAGTAGTGTGATATTGTGAGATATGTAATAGTAGTGTGATATTGTGAGATGTCTAATAGTAGTGTGATATTGTGAGATATGTAATAGTAGTGTGATATTGTGAGATGTCTAATAGTAGTGTGATATTGTGTGATATGTAATAGTAGTGTGATATTGTGTGATGTGTAATAGTAGTGTGATATTGTGTAATGTGTAATAGTGGTGTGATATTGTGTGATATGTAATAGTAGTGTGATATTGTGTGATATGTAATAGTAGTGTGATATTGTGTAATGTGTAACAGTAGTGTGATATTGTGAGATATGTAATAGTAGTGTGATATTGTGTGATGTGTAATAGTAGTGTGATATTGTGTAATGTGTAACAGTAGTATGATATCGTGTGATGTGTAATAGTAGTGTGATATTGTGTGATATGTAATAGTAGTGTGATATCGTGTGATGTGTAATAGTAGTGTGATATTGTGAGATGTGTAATAGTAGTGTGATATTGTGAGATGTGTAATAGTAGTGTGATATTGTTTGATGTGTAATAGTAGTGTGATATTGTGTGATGTGTAATAGTAGTGTGATATTGTTTGATGTGTAATAGTAGTGTGATATTGTTTGATGTGTAATAGTAGTGTGATATTGTGTAATGTGTAATAGTGGTGTGATATTGTGTGATATGTAATAGTAGTGTGATATTGTGTGATGTGTAATAGTAGTGTGATATTGTGAGATGTCTAATAGTAGTGTGATATTGTGTGATATGTAATAGTAGTGTGATATTGTGTGATGTGTAATAGTAGTGTGATATTGTGTAATGTGTAATAGTGGTGTGATATTGTGTGATATGTAATAGTAGTGTGATATTGTGTGATGTGTAATAGTAGTGTGATATTGTGTAATGTGTAACAGTAGTGTGATATTGTGAGATATGTAATAGTAGTGTGATATTGTGTGATGTGTAATAGTAGTGTGATATTGTGTAATGTGTAACAGTAGTATGATATCGTGTGATGTGTAATAGTAGTGTGATATTGTGTGATATGTAATAGTAGTGTGATATCGTGTGATGTGTAATAGTAGTGTGATATTGTGAGATGTGTAATAGTAGTGTGATATTGTGAGATGTGTAATAGTAGTGTGATATTGTTTGATGTGTAATAGTAGTGTGATATTGTGTGATGTGTAATAGTAGTGTGATATTGTTTGATGTGTAATAGTAGTGTGATATTGTTTGATGTGTAATAGTAGTGTGATATTGTGTAATGTGTAATAGTGGTGTGATATTGTGTGATATGTAATAGTAGTGTGATATTGTGTGATGTGTAATAGTAGTGTGATATTGTGTAATGTGTAACAGTAGTGTGATATTGTGAGATATGTAATAGTAGTGTGATATTGTGAGATGTCTAATAGTAGTGTGATATTGTGTAATGTGTAACAGTAGTATGATATCGTGTGATGTGTAATAGTAGTGTGATATTGTGTGATATCTAATAGTAGTGTGATATCGTGTGATGTGTAATAGTAGTGTGATATTGTGAGATGTGTAATAGTAGTGTGATATTGTGAGATGTGTAATAGTAGTGTGATATTGTTTGATGTGTAATAGTAGTGTGATATCGTGTGATGTGTAATAGTAGTGTGATATTGTGTGATGTGTAATAGTAGTGTGATATCGTGTGATGTGTAATAGTAGTGTGATATTGTGTGATGTGTAATAGTAGTGTGATATTGTGTGATATGTAATAGTAGAGTGATATTGTGTGATGTGTAATAGTAGTGTGATATTGTTTGATGTGTAATAGTAGTGTGATATTGTTTGATGTGTAACAGTAGTATGATATCGTGTGATGTGTAATAGTAGTGTGATATTGTGTGATGTGTAATAGTAGTGTGATATTGTGTGATGTGTAATAGTAGTGTGATATTGTTTGATGTGTAACAGTAGTATGATATCGTGTGATGTGTAATAGTAGTGTGATATTGTGTGATGTGTAATAGTAGTGTGATATTGTTTGATGTGTAACAGTAGTATGATATTGTGTGATGTGTAATAGTAGTGTGATATTGTGTGATGTGTAATAGTAGTGTGATATTGTGAGATATGTAATAGTAGTGTGATATTGTGTGATGTGTAATAGTAGTGTGATATTGTTTGATGTGTAACAGTAGTATGATATTGTGTGATGTGTAATAGTAGTGTGATATTGTGTGATGTGTAATAGTAGTGTGATATTGTGAGATATGTAATAGTAGTGTGATATTGTGTGATGTGTAATAGTAGTGTGATATTGTGTGATGTGTAATAGTAGTGTGATATTGTGAGATGTGTAATAGTAGTGTGATATCGTGTGATGTGTAATAGTAGTGTGATATTGTGAGATATGTAATAGTAGTGTGATATTGTGTGATGTGTAATAGTAGTGTGATATTGTGTGATGTGTAATAGTAGTGTGATATTGTGAGATGTGTAATAGTAGTGTGATATTGTGAGATGTGTAATAGTAGTGTGATATTGTGAGATATGTAATAGTAGTGTGATATTGTGTGATGTGTAATAGTAGTGTGATAATGTGTGATGTGTAATAGTAGTGTGATATTGTGAGATGTGTAATAGTAGTGTGATATTGTGTGATATGTAATAGTAGTGTGATATCGTGTGATGTGTAATAGTAGTGTGATATTGTGTGATGTGTAATAGTAGTGTGATATCGTGTGATGTGTAATAGTAGTGTGATATTGTGTGATGTGTAATAGTAGTGTGATATTGTGTGATATGTAATAGTAGAGTGATATTGTGTGATGTGTAATAGTAGTGTGATATTGTGTGATGTGTAATAGTAGTGTGATATTGTGAGATGTGTAATAGTAGTGTGATATTGTGTGATATGTAATAGTAGTGTGATATTGTGTGATGTGTAATAGTAGTGTGATATCGTGTGATGTCTAATAGTAGTGTGATATTGTGAGATATGTAATAGTAGTGTGATATTGTGTGATGTGTAATAGTAGTGTGATATTGTGTGATGTGTAATAGTAGTGTGATATTGTGAGATGTGTAATAGTAGTGTGATATTGTGTGATATGTAATAGTAGTGTGATATCGTGTGATGTGTAATAGTAGTGTGATATTGTGTGATGTGTAATAGTAGTGTGATATTGTGAGATGTGTAATAGTAGTGTGATATTGTGTGATGTGTAATAGTAGTGTGATATCGTGTGATGTGTAATAGTAGTGAGATATTGTGTGATATGTAATAGTAGTGTGATATTGTGTGATGTGTAATAGTAGTGTGATATTGTGAGATGTGTAATAGGAGTGTGATATTGTGTGATGTGTAATAGTAGTGTGATATTGTGTGATACTGTAAATCTGGAAATTAATATGTCTCCAAATTAATATGACTGCTGACCCCTAGCCAAAAATGCAACTCAATATCAATGCGACTTCCCCCACCCTATCCCCAGTGGAATGACACATTACCTTTATCCAAGCAAACAGCAAATAACACTTTCATAAACTTTCTTACTTAAATTAGGAATTTAATATGCGCTTTCCGACATATGCGTGCACGGGCCTGCCAGGCCATTTGGTGTTTGGTCGAAAAAGGGTATGTCCGAAAAGGTGAATCAACCTAGGTGGGGCTTTTAGGGTTGCTTACTTAATTTGGAGAACAAATTTTGAATTTTGAAATATGCCATACAAAAGGTGGAAGGGGAGGGGGGTGGGGTGTGTGTGTGTGTGGACTGGGTGTGTGTGTGTGTGTGTGTGTGTGTGGACTAAAGGGAGTTTGTGTGTTTTTATAGGTTTAGAATTTTAGGGTATATTGGCAGCTTGTTTGTTGTATTTTTATTTTTAAATGCGGCGAAGTAGGTCTGTTTTGATTAGATATATGCCTAGTGCTTTAAATGTTTGTAAAGTCATTTAGGGGGTTAAGTACCGTTGCTAGTGTCATTTGATTGTTGCAGTTTAGTGTGGATTGGAGTGTTGTACTGTGTTGCTCGTAATGTGTGCAATATAGTCATACATGTTCAGGCGTTTCTTTTAAATTGCAGTGGGGGCATTTACCGGTTTGGTGTTTTTTAATTTGGTGTAGGTGGGAGTTTAACTTAGTGTGGCCTGTTTGTAGTTTAGTTATTACTCTGTAAATTTTTTGGGTTTTAGGATGGATTTTTGTATTTTTGAGTGGCTTTTGAAGCAGGTGTTTTAGTTTGCAATCAGATTTCTGATAGTTATTTTGCCACTTTTGGAAGATTTTATACTTTGTGATACTTTTAATTTCTTTTTTTGATATTGGTAGGCTGATGCTTACTTCTTCCAATTTTAGTCCTGATTTAGCTGCTTTGTCCAAACACTCCAACGTGGGCAGGGATCCAAACTATTTCTATGTCCTTACCTAGTTTACGTAGATTATTGGCGCTTTTAAATATCTGTTGTATTAGTTTTGGGCGCTTTTTTGTGTTTTTGTTTTTTATGGCCTGGAGCCCACTTAATGAGTCTGAAAGGATTAGGGTTTTTTGGTGTCTATTTATTTGAACGCTGTGCAGGGCTGTTACTATCCCCATTAATTCGGCTGTGAAAATTGATTGATTATTTGGGAGCCTGTATGATTGTGTTTCTTTTTGGGGTTTGTTGATATGGATGCCGAATCCTGTGCGTTTTGAGCCCGGGTCAAAGGACACCAATTTGGCAATTTTTCGTGAATGTAGGCTGATGTGATGGATTTAGCGGTATTTGGATCAGTTTCTTTATTTAGTCTGGTAGAGAGAGATATGTCGATTTGGGGGGTTTGGAGTTTGGGTGTGAAGGTGTTATTTGGGGCTGTGTTTAATTGTAAAGTATTTAGGTTGTGTGTATTTAGGTAATTTATTATGCATTGAGAGATTGGTGTAAATTGAGGGGTTTTGCGAGCGAGAGCTTGGAGTCTGGGGCTTGTTAGTTTTAAGGATTTGTTGGTTTTGTTGGGTTGAGGCCCAGTAATTCATTGTTAGATGATCCCGGCATAGATCCAGGGGTATTTCGCCGGTTAGTGCCTGTAGCGATATGTGCTGTGTGCCATGCTGAGTGTGTGTGATTATCTTGAGTGCTTGATATCGAATTGAGTTTAGTTTATCGGTTAATGAGGAGTTTAAGGTGTTGTATATTTGGCATCCATAGTCTATTTTTGATCTAATTAGTGATTTGTAAAGTGATAGTAGGGTCTCCTTGGAGGCCCCCAGTTGGAACCTGTCAGGCAGCGTGGTGTGTTTAGGTCTTTAGTGCATCTATTTGTTAGGTTTTTAATGTGAGCACCCCAGGTGAGGTGTTCATCAAAGATAAGTCCAAGGAATTTGGTTTCTTTTGGAATTTTATTTTTTTTTGTTTTAGTTTATGGGGTGTTTGCACACATATTTCTGTGTTTGAATACTATCCCTGTTTGTTTTTTTCGGCATTTAGTGAGAAACCCAATTTTTTTGCCTATATTTGAATTTTATTTAATGCATTCTGCAGTAATTTTTTAGGCATATTTATGCTTCTGGTGCAGACCCAGAGGGCTCGATCATCCGCATATTTGGAAGTTTGAATTTTAATGGGTATTCCCTCGAATAGGTCATTAATCATAACGTTTAAAAGTGTTTGGCTTAGAATGCTACCTTGGGGTGTGGTATTTTCTAAGGGACACTGGTCCGATAGCGTTTGGTCGATACCCACGGTTATTTTGCAATTACAATTGTAGTAAGGAAGTCTTGGATATAGTTTATTTTTTGGCCTTTAAGTCCTGCTTTTTTAGTTTTTGTATTAGCCCGTTATGCCATACCATATCGAAAGCTTTAGAGAAGTCTAGAAATATGCCTACTGTGTATTGTCGGTTTAGCTGGCACTTCCATAAAGACAAGTAACAGTTTATATGTCTATTCTGTTGACTGGCATTAAGGAAGTTCATAGGCAATAAAATAATGGAACCAGAACTGTTCACTGATTGAAGAGAAGGTGTCAACAAGCTTGACACGAGTGGGTAGATCTCTTGACCCCAGCAGTCATAACTCACCTGATGCCCATTGTGTAATTGCTATTTTTTGAATGACATTGTTATATACTTGTTACAATTGCTGCTCAATAAAAAGTGTTTGTGTTTATATTCAAGTTGGTATTTTCGCTGTCCAAAGTGTGCAGTCAGGCCGTCTTATTGTTGTGCAAAGTTAATTAACATAGCGTTATTGTTCATATTATGTGACATAGCGTTATAGTTGATATTATGTGACATAGCGTTATTGTTCATATTATGTGACATAGCGTTATAGTTGATATTATGCGACATAGCGTTATAGTTGATATTATGTGACATAGCGTTATAGTTGATATTATGCGACATAGCGTTATAGTTGATATTATGCGACACAGCGTTATAGTTGATATTGTGTGACATAGCGTTATTGTTCATATTATGTGACATAGGGTTATAGTTGATATTATGTGACATAGCGTTATAGTTGATATTGTGTGACATAGCGTTATTGTTCATATTATGTGACATAGCGTTATAGTTGATATTATGTGACATAGCGTTATTGTTCATATTATGTGACATAGCGTTATAGTTGATATATGGCGACATAGCCTTATAGTTGATATTATGCGACACAGCGTTATTGTTCATATTATGTGACATAGCGTTATAGTTGATAGTATGTGACATAGCGTTATTGTTCATATTATGTGACATAGCGTTATAGTTGATATTATGCGACATAGCGTTATAGTTGATATTATGCGACACAGCGTTATAGTTGATATTGTGTGACATAGCGTTATTGTTCATATTATGTGACATAGCGTTATAGTTGATATTATGTGACATAGCGTTATTGTTCATATTATGTGACATAGCGTTATAGTTGATATTATGCGACATAGCGTTATAGTTGATATTATGTGACATAGCGTTATAGTTGATATTATGCGACATAGCGTTATAGTTGATATTATGCGACACAGCGTTATAGTTGATATTGTGTGACATAGCGTTATTGTTCATATTATGTGACATAGGGTTATAGTTGATATTATGTGACATAGCGTTACAGTTGATATTGTGTGACACAGCGTTATTGTTCATATTGTGTGACATAGCGTTATTGTTCATATTGTGTGACATAGCGTTATAGTTGATATTATGTGACATAGCGTTATAGTTGATATTATGTGACATAGCGTTACAGTTGATATGATGTGACAAAGCGTTATTGTTCATATTGTGTGACATAGCGTTATTGTTCATATTGTGTGACATAGCGTTATAGTTGATATTATGTGACATAGCGTTATAGTTGATATTATGTGACATAGCGTTACAGTTGATATGATGTGACAAAGCGTTATTGTTCATATTGTGTGACATAGCGTTATTGTTCATATTGTGTGACATAGCGTTATAGTTGATATTATGTGACATAGCGTTATAGTTGATATTATGTGACATAGCGTTATAGTTGATATGATGTGACAAAGCGTTATAGTTGTTATTTCTGTCTGATAGAGCTGTGTATGACGTGGGTGATGAGGAGGCTCGGTCAGCCATGCATCTTGCCAGCTCCTATGCCGGAATCGGCTTCGGCAACGGAGGAGTGCATCTGTGGTGAGTCAGTGACCACATAACCATGACAACATGCAGCCGGTGACTCACATCGATACAACCTGTAAAGTGTCCTTTGTATTGCACAATAGAGAGAGAATATGTTCCTTAAGAAAACTATCAATACACAATGTGAATGATAACATGTGAGTAAATACTCTATGGAGGGGCAGTGAGGTGGCCAAGTGGTTAAAGCCTTTGCTCGTCACACTGAAAACCCAGGTTCAATTCTCACCATGGGTACAATGTGTGAAGCCCATTTCTGGTGTCCCCCGCTGTGATATTGATGGAATATTGCTAAAAGCGATGTTGAACCTCACTCACTCACTCACTCACTCACTCACTCACTCACTCACTCACTCACTCACTCACTCACTCACTCACTCACTCACTCACTCACTCACTCACTCACTCACTCACTCACTCACTCACTCACTCACTCACTCACTCACTCACTCACTCACTCACTCACTCACTCACTCACTCACTCACTCACTCACTCACTCACTCACTCACTCACTCACTCACTCACTCACTCACTCACTCACTCACTCACTCACTCACTCACTCACTCACTCACTCACTCACTCACTCACTCACTCACTCACTCACTCACTCACTCACTCACTCACTCACTCACTCACTCACTCACTCACTCACTCACTCACTCACTCACTCACTCACTCACTCACTCACTCACTGTTATTATTCACTCAAGACCAAGTTGTCTCCCTTGTTTTCCAGCCACGGCATGTGCTACCCAATCTCCAGCCAGGGAAAGAAGTTTACGTCAAAAGACTACAGCCAGGACTACGCTCTGATTGTAGGTGGCAGTACTATGCTCTGATTGTAGGTGGCAGTACTATGCTCTGATTGTAGGTGGCGCTACTATGCTCTGATTGTAGGTGGCAGTACTACGCTCTGATTGTAGGTGCCAGGACTACGCTCTGATTGTAGGTGGCAGTACTATGCTCTGATTGTAGGTGGCAGTACTACGCTCTGATTGTAGGTGGCAGTACTACGCTCTGATTGTAGGTGGCAGTACTACGCTCTGATTGTAGGTGGCAGTACTATGCTCTGATTGTAGGTGGCACTACTACGCTCCGATTGTAGGTGGCAGTACTACGCTCTGATTGTAGGTGGCAGTACTATGCTCTGATTGTAGGTGGCAGGACTATGCTCTGATTGTAGGTGGCAGCACTATGCTCTGATTGTAGGTGGCAGGACTACGCTCTGATTGTAGGTGGCAGTACTACGCTCTGATTGTAGGTGGCAGTACTACGCTCTGATTGTAGGTGGCAGTACTACGCTCTGATTGTAGGTGGCAGTACTACGCTCTGATTGTAGGTGGCAGTACTATGCTCTGATTGTAGGTGGCAGTACTACGCTCTGATTGTAGGTGGCAGTACTACGCTCTGATTGTAGGTGGCAGGACTATGCTCTGATTGTAGGTGGCAGCACTATGCTCTGATTGTAGGTGGCAGTACTACGCTCTGATTGTAGGTGGCAGTACTACGCTCTGATTGTAGGTGGCAGTACTACGCTCTGATTGTAGGTGGCAGTACTACGCTCTGATTGTAGGTGGCAGTACTACGCTCTGATTGTAGGTGGCAGTACTACGCTCTGATTGTAGGTGGCAGTACTACGCTCTGATTGTAGGTGGCAGTACTATGCTCTGATTGTAGGTGGCAGTACTACGCTCTGATTGTAGGTGGCAGTACTACGCTCTGATTGTAGGTGGCAGGACTATGCTCTGATTGTAGGTGGCAGTACTACGCTCTGATTGTAGGTGGCAGTACTATGCTCTGATTGTAGGTGGCAGTACTACGCTCTGATTGTAGGTGGCAGTACTATGCTCTGATTGTAGGTGGCAGTACTACGCTCTGATTGTAGGTGGCAGTACTACGCTCTGATTGTAGGTGGCAGTACTATGCTCTGATTGTAGGTGGCAGTACTATGCTCTGATTGAGGTGGCAGCACTATGCTCTGATTGTAGGTGGCAGCACTATGCTCTGATTGTAGGTGGCAGTACTACGCTCTGATTGTAGGTGGCAGTACTATGCTCTGATTGTAGGTGGCAGTACTATGCTCTGATTGTAGGTGGCAGTACTATGCTCTGATTGTAGGTGGCAGTACTATGCTCTGATTGTAGGTGGCAGTACTATGCTCTGATTGTAGGTGGCAGTACTACGCTCTGATTGTAGGTGGCAGTACTATGCTCTGATTGTAGGTGGCAGTACTATGCTCTGATTGTAGGTGGCAGTACTATGCTTTGATTGTAGGTGGCAGTACTATGCTCTGATTGTAGGTGGCAGTACTATGCTCTGATTGTAGGTGGCAGTACTATGCTCTGATTGTAGGTGGCAGTACTATGCTCTGATTGTAGGTGGCAGTACTACGCTCTGATTGTAGGTGGCAGTACTATGCTCTGATTGTAGGTGGCAGTACTACGCTCTGATTGTAGGTGGCAGTACTACGCTCTGATTGTAGGTGGCAGTACTATGCTTTGATTGTAGGTGGCAGTACTATGCTCTGATTGTAGGTGGCCCTACTATGCTCTGATTGAAGGTGGCAGTACTATGCTCTTATTACAGGTGCCACTGCTGTGCTCTGATTGTAGGTGGCACCACTATGCTCTGATTATAGGTGGCGCTACAATGTTTTGATTGTAGGTGGCACCACTATGCTCTGATTGTAGGTGGCGCTGCTGTGCTCTGATTGCAGGTGGCACCACTATGCTCTGATTGTAGGTGGCGCTGCTGTGCTCTGATTGCAGGTGGCACCACTATGCTCTGATTGTAGGTGGCGCTGCTGTGCTCTGATTGCAGGTGGCACCACTATGCTCTGATTGTAGGTGGCGCTGCTGTGCTCTGATTGTAGGTGGCGCTGCTGTGCTCTGATTGCAGGTGGCACCACTATGCTCTGATTGTAGGTGGCGCTGCTGTGCTCTGATTGCAGGTGGCACCACTATGTTCTGATTGTAGGTGGCTCTGCTGTGCTCTGAGTCCAGCTGGCAGTATCTTGTGTTATGTTAGATATGATGTTGTTATGTTTGACTTGACTTCCTCTGCCTCAGCCCCATGGCCTCTCCGTCATCATCACGGCGCCGGCTGTGTTCGAGTTTACAGCTCCTGCATGCCCTGAGCGACACATCGAGGCTGCGGAATGTCTGGGTAAGCAGGAATACACGTCTTGTCATTTTATTCATCGTGGATTAAACTATAGAACATTTCTTGTAACATAATGGATGATATTATTAGCTTATTAAACATGTTAAGTCCATTATAATATATATCAACTGTATAATAGTGTAATATAATGATAGCGTTGTAGTCTGTGATGTTGTAGGCGTTGATGATGTAGGTGTGAATGTTGTAGTCTGTGATGTGGGTGTGAATGTTGTAGGTGTGGATGTTGTAGTCCGTGATGTTGTAGGTGTGGATGTTGTAGTCCGTGATGTTGTAGGTGTGGATGTTGTAATCTGTGATGTTGTAGTCTGTGATGTTTTAGGTGTGGATGTTGTAGTCTGTGATGTTGTAGGTGTGGATGTTGTAGTCTGTGATGTTGTAGTCTGTGATGTTGTAGTCTGTGATGTTGTAGTCTGTGATGTTTTAGGTGTGGATGTTGTAATCCGTGATGTTGTAGTCTGTGATGTTTTAGGTGTGGATGTTGTAGTCCGTGATGTTGTAGGTGTGGATGTTGTAGTCTGTGATGTTGTAGGTGTGGATGTTGTAGTCTGTGATGTTGTAGTCTGTGATGTTGTAGTCTGTGATGTTGTAGTCTGTGATGTTGTAGGTGTGGATGTTGTAATCTGTGATGTTGTAGTCTGTGATGTTGTAGGTGTGGATGTTGTAGTCTGTGATGTTGTAGTCTGTGATGTTGTAGGTGTGGATGTTGTAGTCTGTGATGTTGTAGTCTGTGATGTTGTAGTCTGTGATGTTGTAGGTGTGGATGTTGTAGTCTGTGATGTTGTAGTCTGTGATGTTGTAGGTGTGGATGTTGTAGTCTGTGATGTTGTAGTCTGTGATGTTGTAGTCTGTGATGTTTTAGGTGTGGATGTTGTAGTCTGTGATGTTGTAGTCTGTGATGTTGTAGTCTGTGATGTTGTAGTCTGTGATGTTGTAGGTGTGGATGTTGTAGTCTGTGATGTTGTAGTCTGTGATGTTGTAGTCTGTGATGTTGTAGTCTGTGATGTTGTAGGTGTGGATGTTGTAGTCTGTGATGTTGTAGGTGTGGATGTTGTAGTCTGTGATGTTGTAGGTGTGGATGTTGTAGTCTGTGATGTTGTAGTCTGTGATGTTGTAGTCTGTGATGTTGTAGGTGTGGATGTTGTAGTCTGTGATGTTGTAGTCTGTGATGTTGTAGTCTGTGATGTTGTAGTCTGTGATGTTGTAGGTGTGGATGTTGTAGTCTGTGATGTTGTAGTCTGTGATGTTGTAGGTGTGGATGTTGTAGTCTGTGATGTTGTAGGTGTGGATGTTGTAATCTGTGATGTTGTAGTCTGTGATGTTGTAGGTGTGGATGTTGTAGTCTGTGATGTTGTAGTCTGTGATGTTGTAGGTGTGGATGTTGTAGTCTGTGATGTTGTAGTCTGTGATGTTGTAGTCTGTGATGTTGTAGTCTGTGATGTTGTAGGTGTGGATGTTGTAGTCTGTGATGTTGTAGTCTGTGATGTTGTAGTCTGTGATGTTGTAGTCTGTGATGTTGTAGGTGTGGATGTTGTAGTCTGTGATGTTGTAGGTGTGGATGTTGTAATCTGTGATGTTGTAGTCTGTGATGTTGTAGTCTGTGATGTTGTAGTCTGTGATGTGGGTGTGAATGTTGTAGGTGTGGATGTTGTAGTCCGTGATGTTGTAGGTGTGGATGTTGTAGTCCGTGATGTTGTAGGTGTGGATGTTGTAATCTGTGATGTTGTAGTCTGTGATGTTTTAGGTGTGGATGTTGTAGTCTGTGATGTTGTAGTCTGTGATGTTGTAGGTGTGGATGTTGTAGTCTGTGATGTTGTAGTCTGTGATGTTTTAGGTGTGGATGTTGTAGTCTGTGATGTTGTAGTCTGTGATGTTTTAGGTGTGGATGTTGTAATCTGTGATGTTGTAGTCTGTGATGTTGTAGTCTGTGATGTTGTAGTCTGTGATGTTGTAGTCTGTGATGTTGTAGGTGTGGATGTTGTAGTCTGTGATGTTGTAGTCTGTGATGTTGTAGTCTGTGATGTTGTAGTCTGTGATGTTGTAGGTGTGGATGTTGTAGGTGTGGATGTTGTAGTCTGTGATGTTGTAGTCTGTGATGTTGTAGTCTGTGATGTTGTAGTCTGTGATGTTGTAGGTGTGGATGTTGTAGTCTGTGATGTTGTAGGTGTGGATGTTGTAATCTGTGATGTTGTAGTCTGTGATGTTGTAGTCTGTGATGTTGTAGGTGTGGATGTTGTAATCTGTGATGTTGTAGTCTGTGATGTTGTAGTCTGTGATGTGGGTGTGAATGTTGTAGGTGTGGATGTTGTAGTCTGTGATGTTGTAGGTGTGGATGTTGTAGTCTGTGATGTTGTAGGTGTGGATGTTGTAATCTGTGATGTTGTAGTCTGTGATGTTGTAGTCTGTGATGTTGTAGTCTGTGATGTTGTAGTCCGTGATGTTGTAGGTGTGGATGTTGTAATCTGTGATGTTGTAGTCTGTGATGTTGTAGTCTGTGATGTTGTAGTCTGTGATGTTGTAGTCTGTGATGTTGTAGGTGTGGATGTTGTAATCTGTGATGTTGTAGTCTGTGATGTTGTAGGTGTGGATGTTGTAGTCTGTGATGTTGTAGGTGTGGATGTTGTAATCTGTGATGTTGTAGTCTGTGATGTTGTAGTCTGTGATGTTGTAGGTGTGGATGTTGTAATCTGTGATGTTGTAGTCTGTGATGTTGTAGTCTGTGATGTGGGTGTGAATGTTGTAGGTGTGGATGTTGTAGTCTGTGATGTTGTAGTCTGTGATGTTGTAGGTGTGGATGTTGTAGTCTGTGATGTTGTAGGTGTGGATGTTGTAGGTGTGGATGTTGTAGTCTGTGATGTTGTAGTCTGTGATGTTGTAGTCTGTGATGTTGTAGTCTGTGATGTTGTAGGTGTGGATGTTGTAGTCTGTGATGTTGTAGTCTGTGATGTTGTAGTCTGTGATGTTGTAGGTGTGGATGTTGTAGTCTGTGATGTTGTAGGTGTGGATGTTGTAGTCTGTGATGTTGTAGGTGTGGATGTTGTAGGTGTGGATGTTGTAGTCTGTGATGTTGTAGGTGTGGATGTTGTAGTCTGTGATGTTGTAGGTGTGGATGTTGTAGTCTGTGATGTTGTAGTCTGTGATGTTGTAGTCTGTGATGTTGTAGTCTGTGATGTTGTAGGTGTGGATGTTGTAGTCTGTGATGTTGTAGTCTGTGATGTTGTAGTCTGTGATGTTGTAGGTGTGGATGTTGTAGTCTGTGATGTTGTAATCTGTGATGTTGTAGTCTGTGATGTTGTAGTCTGTGATGTTGTAGGTGTGGATGTTGTAATCTGTGATGTTGTAGTCTGTGATGTTGTAGTCTGTGATGTGGGTGTGAATGTTGTAGGTGTGGATGTTGTAGTCTGTGATGTTGTAGTCTGTGATGTTGTAGGTGTGGATGTTGTAGTCTGTGATGTTGTAGGTGTGGATGTTGTAATCTGTGATGTTGTAGTCTGTGATGTTGTAGTCTGTGATGTTGTAGGTGTGGATGTTGTAGTCTGTGATGTTGTAGGTGTGGATGTTGTAGTCTGTGATGTTGTAGGTGTGGATGTTGTAATCTGTGATGTTGTAGTCTGTGATGTTGTAGTCTGTGATGTTGTAGTCTGTGATGTTGTAGGTGTGGATGTTGTAATCCGTGATGTTGTAGTCTGTGATGTTGTAGGTGTGGATGTTGTAGTCTGTGATGTTGTAGTCTGTGATGTTGTAGTCTGTGATGTTGTAGTCTGTGATGTTGTAGGTGTGGATGTTGTAGTCTGTGATGTTGTAGTCCGTGATGTTGTAGGTGTGGATGTTGTAGTCTGTGATGTTGTAGGTGTGGATGTTGTAATCTGTGATGTTGTAGTCTGTGATGTTGTAGTCTGTGATGTGGGTGTGAATGTTGTAGTCTGTGATGTTGTAGGTGTGGATGTTGTAGTCTGTGATGTTGTAGGTGTGGATGTTGTAATCTGTGATGTTGTAGTCTGTGATGTTGTAGGTGTGGATGTTGTAGTCTGTGATGTTGTAGGTGTGGATGTTGTAATCTGTGATGTTGTAGTCTGTGATGTTGTAGTCTGTGATGTTGTAGGTGTGGATGTTGTAGTCTGTGATGTTGTAGGTGTGGATGTTGTAGTCTGTGATGTTGTAGGTGTGGATGTTGTAATCTGTGATGTTGTAGTCTGTGATGTTGTAGGTGTGGATGTTGTAGTCTGTGATGTTGTAGTCTGTGATGTTGTAGGTGTGGATGTTGTAGTCTGTGATGTTGTAGTCTGTGATGTTGTAGTCCGTGATGTTGTAGTCTGTGATGTTGTAGGTGTGGATGTTGTAGTCTGTGATGTTGTAGGTGTGGATGTTGTAGTCTGTGATGTTGTAGGTGTGGATGTACGTAACGTGAAGCGTGGCGATGCTGGACGGGTGCTGTCAGACAGAGTGAAGGAGATAATGGATGACATCGGCACCCCGAACGGACTGACAGAACTCGGCTTTCAGTCTCAGGATGTTCCAAACCTTGTCAAGGGCACCATGCCACAGGTGGGTACATATACACATTCAGGGCACCATGCCACAGGTGGGTACATATACACATTCAGGGCACCATGCCACAGGTGGGTACATATACACATTCAGGGCACAATGCCACAGGTGGATACACATACACATTCAGGGCACCATGCCACAGGTGGGTCCATATACACATTCAGGGCACAATGCCACAGGTGGGTCCATATACACATTCAGGGCACCATGCCACAGGTGGGTCCATATACACATTCAGGGCACCATGCCACAGGTGGGTCCATATACACATTCAGGGCACCATGCCACAGGTGGGTCCATATACACATTCAGGGCACCATGCAACTTGTGGTACACATAGACTGTGGTACTCCTGTCTTGGAGGCAGCAGTCTTGTGTCAATGCCCACACATGATTCTATATCGTCCATGTTTCAGCACCGAGTAACAAAGCTGTGTCCAAGACCCTTTCAGGAGGAGGACATCGCGACATTGCTGGAGAAGTCAATGAGAGTGTTCTAGGCGTTGCCCATGGGCCTATATCTGAACCAAACTAACCAGTCGGGACAAATCAACTGAATGAGAAATGAATGTGGCACAGATGAAGACCCAGCTCAGCAAGTGACATGAAGAACGTGACTACATGGAATGGTGGCTGATGTTTGATGATTATGATCAAATAGTTTTAATTATTTTCATGCAAAGAAAATATTAAGTGCATTGATGCAATACATGTTGTTAACAATGTAGTAGACACATGCCATAATAACCTCATTTTGTTGACGAGAATGTTTGATAGAATTTATTATCCAGCACGAAGTGGTGCTTGCATGTTACTCTGGGGACACAGTCGTCAAGGCTGTAGAGATTTGCTGACATACCGTGATGTAACTGGAAAACTGTTGAAAGCAGCGTTAAACCAAACTCCCTTACGATTACAAAGGTCAGCTTCACTCTAGGTCCAAGGTCATACTCAAACCAAAGCGCTAAAGGTGAAGGTCATTTTCACATCATCCTTCAGGTAGGGCCTTGATGATGTTAAAGTGTCAAGTTCATTGTAAAGTGTGTTGTGTGATTTGATTCGAGAACAAATTCGAGTTGATATCAGTCCGGCGAGGTCACCTTTTCAGAAAAGTAATTCATGAGTATTTGATGAATGATTCAATAATTAACTCAATTCTTGTCATGTGACTTCACTGGGCTGTTTGATGGTCATTCACTCCTGAAATGAATTGTAAATAGTAAATATAATGCGGGGGGATATAGCTATCAGCCAGTCTGTCCGTAATCATTTCCTTTTCCTGGGCAGAATTCCAAAACCATTCAGTGTATTTGATCGAAACTTGGGAAATCTATCAGGCACATACTGAAGTGGTGCCTTTTGATATTAATGGATTTTTCTAATTTTTATTTTTTAAATATTTTATGGAATGAAGTTGGACATAGACACAATTGGGGATGGGGTTCGTTTCCGGGGCAGAATTCGAAAACCATTCGGTGTATTTGATCGAAACTAAGCAAAGCTATCAGGCACATATTGAAGTGGTGCCTTTTGATATTTTGGGATTTTTCTAATTTTTTTTTTTAAAAATTATTATGGAATGAAGTTGGACATAGACTCAATAGGGGATGAGGTTAGTTTCCGGGGCAGAATTCGAAAACCATTCAGTGTATTTGATCGAAACTTGGCAAATCTATCAGTCTCATACTGAAGTGGTGCCTTTGGCTATTTAGGAATTTTATAAATTTTTATTTTTTACGTTTCCATGGCAAGAAGTTGGACTTAGGTTCTATAGGGTAGAGTTCGTTTCCGGAGCATAACTCAAAACCTATTCAAAACTTTGCATGTCTATCAGACTCTTGCTGAACTGGTGCCTTTTGCTATTTAGGAATTTTATCATTTTTTATTTTTTACGTTCCCATGGCAACAAGATGGATTTAAGTTTTAATATAGGGTGGGTTCACTTATGGAGTAAACTGTTAAATATTTCCTTGCCTGTATATATATAAATAAAGCACATACTGAACTGGTGCCATTTGATATTAAGGAAGTTAATAAGTTTTAGAAATGTTTATTTTAGAATTTCCATTGCAGCTATTTTGAAATGGGCTAAAAGAAATGTTGGGTCACTTACCTGGTTTGGGACCATAACGTGTTAAAATTGGCGGGGGATATAGATGACTTCGTGACTGTACGCTTGTTTAGTCATTGTTTCTTGTAATTTGTCATTTGTTTGCATAAAAAAAACCCAGAGAATACAGAATAGCACCTTTACTTGTGGTTACTTTACAGACAGCTGCAGGGGGGAATATGTCATCTTTCTGATGACTCTTGTTTATGTCTTTGGGAATGCCATCATAGTTCATTTTGAAAAGGTTTACGACTGACCATGTTTTCCAGATGAATTTACTTTGTATAATCAGATTGGTTCGAGATTGCAGACTAACGGAAAATCACCCAACTTCTCCTTTACATTCTTACTATATCAACTACATGATAGTTTTAATGAAATAGAAATGCAAATTGACAAAGAAAGTAATTTAGCAGCGGTCATTTGTTTGTAAACATAACAGTCATTTGGTTGTGAGCACCTATGTCAGTGGGGAGTTTTGACTGGTGGCAGTGATAGTAAAGATCGCTGTGAGGAGCTTAAGTATGTGTGTATGGAGAGTATTGGTGAGAAGTGAAACAACTGTAAACTGCCGCTTCCTTCATCTGCTGTGGCTGCTGCTGCTGCTGCATGATGCTGCAACTTGTGGTTGTCTCATATACTATTTTCAGATATACTAATGTTATAAGTTGATTTATGAATGATTGTTATTGACTAATTAAATTTAAACAAGAAACAGATAATATTGGTTTGCCTTTTGTCACTCACAACCTGTCAGTGTTCCATGCTGGTTGGATTGTCCCCCAACAGTGTCCCCCAACTGTGTCCTAGTCCTGTGGTGGCTCTCATGGCCTCACCTCCACCCGCTACATCTTCTTAAAGTTGATTGGCACAAGAGGATATCCTTTCACCGAATTCCTCCACATGGCCAGAGGCAATTCCTTTTGGCAAATGTCAAAAGGTCAAGGTTGAAAAATAAGGATTTAGTTTCTCAAAAAGTCTTGATGCCTTCATCAACAAACATGGCTATGGCTTCATCAACAAACATGGCTATGCCCCCATCAACAAACATGGCTATGCCCCAATCAACAAACATGGCTCTGGATGACTGTTGATCTCAAATGCATCCTCTTGGACTTCAAAAAATATAAGAATTGGTTCTCAAAATACAGTGTGGGCGGTGTGGGTTTTGGGGGGTTTTTTTTGGGGTGGGGGTGGATGATAATCTCCTTTTACGGCAAGCATGGGTTGCTGTAGACCTATTTTACCCTGCAAGCATGGGTTGCTGAAGACCTATTCTACCCTGCAAGCATGGGTTGCTGAAGACCTATTCTACCCTGGATCTTTCCAGGTCTATTACATCAAGTGTCAATGGTGGACCTGTTGAAGGTCAATGTTATGGTGAAACGTGATAATATGATACTGCCAAGGTATAAACACAGAAAAACCTACGGTAACAATCTAACAATAAATGCAAACAATAAATGCAACATGATCCATTTCCTAAGACACTTGCCGTCAAATACGAGTACTTCTACTTTTGATCGTGCACCAATATATTTGCTTATTAAGTTGGAAACCCGATCGTTAAGGAAACCCGATCGTTAAGGATTTTTTATCTGCTCTTGCACTCCATCTGTACCTTCTCAATGATTCCAACCTAACAAATACATAGACAGTTTCATGATCGACAATATAAGGACATATTTGCAGGCGAGTGTTTTAAGAAGCAAATTATGGAAGTACGATTCATGTACATTATTGAATTAGTGCACAATGTTCCAATCAGTCTTCTATCAGGAAACCACTCTGGGCCACTCCATTGCTCTGTGTAGACAAGTCCAAGTGAAACTGTTCACAGAGAGCAGCACACGGATATCGTTACTATGGCAACTTGTCACAGGTGGACCAGATGAAGTTGAAGTCATCCTGCTGTGATCAGAGTCGACAAGCACAGGAGACAAGCAAACAATCGGAATTGTTATATTTCATTTAAATAACATATAATAAAATAATACATGAGTACAATCTATTTCTACAAAACATCAACATCTAATTAAGTAACATAATTATCTTCCATATTGGTCACAATACTGTGGACTTGATGTGACTGATGGAGCCAGTACACTTGATGTGATATATCATGAATGATATGATACACTGAGGTCCAACCCTGTTGTCTCAAACCTAGCATGTTAACGAGACGTACGTTATAAAGTAAGGCGTTTGAGATAACAGCATTTGAGATAACAGGGTTTGAGATGTCGAGCTTTGACTGTATATTGCTTCAACAGCATGTCAGTGTGTACGAGATCTGTCTTCACCAACCACATACAGCACGTCATGTATGTGTTACAATTTGTCGAATAAAATAATAACGGACAGTGACTCACTGGCGACGGCTGCAAACTAATGGCTTTGACAATAGAAACCGAAACTACTATTCTGCTAATGATAATAACCCCAAACACTTGCCCTCATTATCTTCCACTGTACACATGGAACTGGTGTCACCAGCCCTGGCATCCATTGTTCAGATTACACAACCTGGATGTACATGTACAAGGCAGTAAATACAGCATCTGGACCCACTCACATGTCAGCTTGTCAAAGTCACCAAAATATTGTGTTTGCTTCATGCTGTTTACATTGTTGCATGATCTTTTATTTTATGACAGCAGTCCATAAATAATCGAGTCTGGACCTGACAATCTAGTGATTGACAAGCAATTGGGATACGATGACATGTATCAACCAAGTCAGCGAGCCTGACCACCCGATCCCGTAAGTCGCCTCTTACGACAAGCGTAGTCGCCTATTACGGCAAGCATGGGTTAATGAAGACCATTGTTGCATGAGGTTGCCGATATAATCTGGTGGCTTCACGGCGTTTTCATTGTGGCATTGAGGTCACTCCTACTCCGGTGTTCACTGTGGCATGAGGTCATAGCCGAGGAGTGACTCGGTCACCACATCACAGAGAGATAGAAGTTTGAATGGTTTATGTTCCGCGATGTCGACAGCATGGGGGATGGAGTCTGTGATCCAGAAGTTCTGGAACGGAACATCGGAGTCCACAAATCTCTTCCATGACTCTTTGGGGAACACTGGATGAGTGACATAGGCACTGATAGCAACAGCTCCTCGGTCCAGCAACACCTGCAGCAACAACCACAACAACACCTGCAGCAACAACCACAACAATACCTGCGGCAACAACCACAACAACACCTGCATGAACAACAACAGTAAGACTTGATAACTTAAACAACCACAACAACAAAAACAACGGCAGCAATATAACAGTTGGATCACAGTCTGTAGCAACATTAGTTATATGACAGACACCATAACAGTACATCAGAGTTGTCTGTAGCAACATTAGTTATATGACAGACACCATAACAGTACATCAGAGTTGTCTGTAGCAACATTAGTTATATGACAGACACCATAACAGTACATCAGAGTTGTCTGTAGTGATATATAAGTTATATGACAGACACCATTACTGTATATCAGAGTTGTCGGCAGCAATATTACAGTTATATGACAAACACTATAACAGTATATCAGAGTTGTCTGTAGTGATATATAAGTAATATGACAGACACTATAACAGTATATCAGAGTTGTCTGTAGTGATATATAAGTTATATGAAAGACACTATAACAGTATATCAGAGTTGTCGGCAGCAATATAACAGTTATATGACAGACACTATAACAGTATATCAGAGTCGTCTGCAGCAATATTAGTTGTATGACAGACACTATATAGAGGTTATCACGCGAGTGTGTTTGGGGATGGTAAATATCCTGTATTAGGAATAAACATTATATTTGGCGAGCCTTGGCGATCTTAATACATAGTGTTTATTCCTAATACAGGATATTTACCATCCCCAAACACACAAGCGTGATAACCTCTTTATCATATAATGTCATTCTTTAATTCTGTGCTTGAAAATCGCTTTCCCTCTCTCACAAACATTACCGAAACATTGCGTGCATTAATATTTATTGCGTCACAGGGTAAGTGATGTGTCAGTCGGACAGTGACAGTAGCCGATATAGTTCCAACTGAAATCTGTTTCTTATACAGTGGCGAAGCAACATATACGCAAAACAACAATTGTTTTTACTTGCCTTTCGCGGCAATCCATCGGTCTGTCCGCTAGAGTAACTGCCCTTTGTCAAAAGGAAGCTACTCTAACCCTAGTCTATGAGACGTCACAGCCACAGTCAGACGTTGTTGACAGTCGGTCTGTCCTGTCATAACGTTAAGTGCAGTCAGATGTACACACAGCGACAAAATGAAACAATGTAACAATTCAAACATATTTCGGCCAAATCCAACCATTTTAATTTGTGGAAAAGGTTTCAAGTCACAGAGGTCGACAAGCACAGATATGGCTACTGATCTCGCTTGGCTAAGCCTAGTGCCCTCGCAAAATTGTTTCGAAATTTATATCTCCAAAGTTGCCAAAACTTAAAAAATGCCTTAGCTACATCACAGTTAGACACTGATTTTCAGTATGTTAGACTGTTCTTTGGATAATGATAGCAATTATCCCTTTAGATTATCCAGATTCCCGATGGTTAATTCGATAGCCGAATGACAAGGGCCACGCCATGTTTGTTTGAAAACACTGAAAGTAGTCCCTACTTGACCTTTTATATTTGCATCTCTATCCGCATATGACCCCAACGGATATTGTTTTTATCCGTTGGCTTTATCCTGCCGAGAAACCTACCCATTATATGATAAAACAGTATAGTTGTCGGCAGCAATATTACAGTTATATGACAGACACTATAACAGTATATCAGTCGTCTGTAGTGTTATATAAGTTATATGACAGACACTATAACAGTGTATCAGAGTCGTCTGTAGTGATAAATAAGTTATATGACAGACACTATAACGGTATATCAGAGTTGTCTGTAGTGTTATATAAGTTATATGACAGACACTATAACAGTGTATCAGAGTCGTCTGTAGTGTTATATAAGTTATATGACAGACACTATAACAGTGTATCAGAGTCGTCTGTAGTGATATATAAGTTATATGACAGACACTATAGCAGTATATCAGAGTTGTCTGTAGTGATATATAAGTTATATGACAGACACTATAACATATATCACAGTCGTCTGTAGTGATAAATAAGTTATATGACAGACACTATAACAGTATATCACAGTCGTCTGCAGCAATATTAGTTGTATGACAGACAATATAACAGTATATCAGAGTTGTCTGTAGCAATATTACAGTTATATGACAGACACTATAACAGTGAGTGAGTGAGTATGGTTTTACGCTGTTTTTAGCAATATTCCAGCAATATCACGGCGGGGGACACCAGAAATGGGGTTCACACATTGTACCCGTGTCGGAATCGAACCCCGGTCTTCAGATTGATGAGCGAACGCTTTAACCACAAGGCTACCCGACCACCCCAGACACTATAACAGTATATCAGAGTTGTCTGTAGTGATATATAATTTACAGAACCCAGCAGCCACATTGACCGGGGGATCCCCTGATTGAGTACAGAGACTTATTCTGCTTCATCAAACAAACTCCTCCTCACCTTCCCACACTCCTTCAGCGTGCCCCCTGTTTGGACCAAGTCATCAATGATGATCACATGCTTGCCACTTGGGTTGCCTGCAAGTTGGAAAAAGATTTTACCAAATCCGGTAACACAAATTAACCATTTACTGTCAATTATACATACTTTCTAATGTTTATTTGTTATTCAGTGAATCTCCTTCTTTCTAAAACCTAAAATGTTATGTGTATTGTTGGCACATAGTTTTCAACTGAACTGTGGACAATACCTTCTTTAACTTTTACTATTTTCTTGTCTCCATCACGGATCTTGGCACAAATAATGGTCTGTTCCCCAGCAAAGTGAAGGTGGAAGCGTTTGAAAGCTCCATCATCAGGGAAGGCAAACGTCAGATTGGTTCGGTCCTCAAGTCGTTCAACCTCGCGTTGCAATAGTTGAATCGCTGTCTCAAGTCTGCAAAATTACATCATATATTACATCGTTTTGAGAACAGTGGTCAGACACCAGTGGAAAGACACCAGTGGTCAGACAACTGTGGCCAAACACCAGTGGTCAGACAACAGTGGTCAGACAACAGTGGTCAGACACCAATGGTCATACACCTGATGGTCAGACATCATTGGTCAGATATCAATGGTCAAACACCAGTGGCCAGACACCAGTGGTCAGACACCAGTGGCCAGACACCAGTGGTCAGACACCAATGGTCAAACACCAGGGGCCAGACACCAGTGGTCAGACACCAATGGTCATACACCAGTGGTCAGACATCAGTGGTCAAACACCAGGGGCCAGACACCAGTAGCCAGACACCAGTGGTCAGACACCAATGGTCATACACCAGTGGTCAGACATCATTGGTCAGATATCAATGGTCAAACACCAGTGGCCAGACACCAGTGGCCAGAGACAAGTGGTCAGACATCAGTGGTCAAACACCAGGGGCCAGACACCAGTGGCCAGACACCAGTGGTCAGACAGTGGTAAGACACAAGTGGTCAAACCCCAGTGGCCAGAGACCAGTGGTCAGACATCAGTGGTCAAACACCAGGGGCCAGACACCAGTGGTCATACACCAGTGGTCAAACATCATTGGTCAGATATCAATGGTCAAACACCAGTAGCCAGACACCAGTGGCCAGAGACAAGTGGTCAGATATCAATGGTCAAACACCAGTGGCCAGACACCCGTGGCCAGACACCAGTGGCCAGAGACAAGTGGTCAGACATCAGTGGTCAGACACCAGTGGCCAGACACCAGTGGCCAGAGACAAGTGGTCAGACATCAGTGGTCAAACACCAGGGGCCAGACACCAGTGGTCAGACACCCGTTGCCAGACACCAGTAGTCAGACACAAGTGGCCAGACACCAGTGGTCAGACACCAGTAGTCAGACACCAGTTGTCAGACATCAGTGGCCAGACACAAGTGGCCAGACATCAGTGGTCAAACACCAGGGGCCAGACACCAGTGGTCAGACACCCGTTGCCAGACACCAGTAGTCAGACACAAGTGGCCAGACACCAGTGGTCAGACACCAGTAGTCAGACACCGGTGGCCAGACATCAGTGGTCAGACAGTGGTAAGACACCAGTGGCCAGACACTAGTGGCCAGACATCAGTGGTCAGACATCAGTGGTCAGACAGTGGTAAGACACAAGTGGCCAGACACTAGTGGCCAGACATCAGTGGTATGACATCAGTGGTCAGACATCAGTGGTCAGACACAATGGCCAGACACAATGGCCAGACATCAGTGGTCAGACAGTGGCCAGACACCAGTGGCCAGACACTAGTGGCCAGACATCAGTGGTCAGACATCAGTGGTCAGACATCAGTGGTCAGACATCAGTGGTATGACATCAGTGGCCAGACACAATGGCCAGACACCAGTGGTCAGACAGTGGTCAGACACCAGTGGCCAGACATCAGTGGTCAGACAGTGGTAAGACACCAGTGGCCAGACACTAGTGGCCAGACATCAGTGGTCAGACAGTGGTCAGACACAATGGCCAGACACCAGTGGTCAGACATCAGTGGTCAGACAGTGGTAAGACACCAGTGGCCAGACACCCGTGGCCAGACATCAGTGGTCAGACATCAGTGGTCAGACAGTGGCCAGACACTAGTGGTCAGACACCAGTGGCCAGACACCAGTAGTCAGACAGTGGTAAGACACCAGTGGCCAGACATCAGTGGTCAGACAGTGGCCAGACATCAGTGGCCAGACACAATGGCCAGACACCCGTGGCCAGACATCAGTGGTCAGACAGTGGTAAGACACCAGTGGTCAGACACCAATGGTCATACACCAGTGGTCAGACATCATTGGTCAGATATCAATGGTCAAACACCAGTGGCCAGACACCAGTGGCCAGACACAAGTGGCAAGACACCAGTGGCCAGACACCAGTGGCCAGACACAAGTGGCCAGACATCAGTGGCCAGACACAGTGGCCAGACAGTGGTAAGACACAAGTGGTCAAACTCAAGTGGCCAGAGACCAGTGGTCAGACAGGGGCCAGCCACCAGTGGTCAGACATCAGTGGTCAAACCCCAGTGGCCAGAGACCAGTGGTCAGACATCAGTGGTCAAACACCAGTGGTCAGACACCAGTGGCCAGACACCAGTGGTCAGACAGTGGTAAGACACAAGTGGTCAAACCCCAGTGGCCAGAGACCAGTGGTCAGACATCAGTGGTCAAACACCAGGGGCCAGCCACCAGTGGTCAGACATCATTGGTCAGATATCAATGGTCAAACACCAGTAGCCAGACACCAGTGGCCAGAGACCAGTGGTCAGACACCAATGGTCATACACCAGTGGTCAGACATCATTGGTCAGATATCAATGGTCAAACACCAGTGGCCAGACACCAGTGGCCAGACACAAGTGGCCAGACACCAGTGGCCAGACACCAGTGGCCAGACACAAGTGGCAAGACATCAGTGGCCAGACACCAGTGGCCAGACACAAGTGGCCAGACATCAGTGGCCAGACACAAGTGGCCAGACATCAGTAGCCAGACACAAGTGGCCAGACATCAGTGGCCAGACACAAGTGGCCTGACACAAGTGGCCAGACATCAGTGGCCAGACACAAGTGGCCAGACATCAGTGGCCAGACATCAGTGGCCAGACATCAGTGGCCAGACACAGTGGCCAGACAGTGGTAAGACACAAGTGGTCAAACCCAAGTGGCCAGAGACCAGTGGTCAGACATCAGTGGTCAAACACCAGGGGCCAGCCACCAGTGGTCAGACATCAGTGGTCAAACCCCAGTGGCCAGAGACCAGTGGTCAGACATCAGTGGTCAAACACCAGGGGCCAGACACCAGGGGCCAGACATCAGTGGTCAGACAGTGGTAAGACACAAGTGGTCAAACCCCAGTGGCCAGAGACCAGTGGTCAAACACCAGGGGCCAGCCACCAGTGGTCAGACATCATTGGTCAGATATCAATGGTCAAACACCAGTAGCCAGACACCAGTGGCCAGAGACAAGTGGTCAGATATCAATGGTCAAACACCAGTGGCCAGACACCAGTGGTCAGACACCAGTGGTCAGAGACAAGTGGCAAGACACCCGTGGTCAGACACCCGTTGCCAGACACCAGTGGCCAGAGACATGTGGTCAGACATCAGTGGCCAGACACCCATGGTCAGACACCTGTGGCCAGACACCAGTGGCCAGAGACAAGTGGTCAGACATCAGTGGTCAAACATCAGGGGCCAGCCACCAGTGGTCAGACACCCGTTGCCAGACACCAGTAGTCAGACACCAGTGGCCAGACACCAGTGGTGAGACACCAGAAGTCAGACATCAGACACCAGTGGCCAGACACCAGTGGCCAGAGACAAGTGGTCAGACATCAGTGGTCAAACACCAGTGGTCAGACACCCGTTGCCAGACACCAGTAGTCAGACACCAGTGGCCAGACACAAGTGGCCAGACACCCGTGGTCAGACAGCAGTAGTCAGACAGCAGTAGTCAGACATCAGTGGCCAGACACAATGGCCAGACACAAGTGGCCAGACACCCGTGGCCAGACACCCGTGGTCAGACACCAGTAGTCAGACATCAGTGGCCAGACACCCATGGTCAGACACCTGTGGCCAGACACCAGTGGCCCGAGACAAGTGGTCAGACATCAGTGGTCAAACATCAGGGGCCAGCCACCAGTGGTCAGACACCCGTTGCCAGACACCAGTAGTCAGACACCAGTGGCCAGACACCAGTGGTGAGACACCAGTAGTCAGACATCAGACACCAGTGGCCAGACACCAGTGGCCAGAGACAAGTGGTCAGACATCAGTGGTCAAACACCAGTGGTCAGACGCCCGTTGCCAGACACCAGTAGTCAGACACCAGTGGCCAGACACAAGTGGCCAGACACCCGTGGTCAGACACCAGTAGTCAGACACCAGTAGTAAGACATCAGTGGCCAGACACAATGGCCAGACACTAGTGGCCAGACATCAGTGGTCAGACAGTGGTAAGACACCAGTGGCCAGACACCAGTGGCCAGACATCAGTGGCCAGACACCAGTGGCCAGACACCAGTGGTCAGACACCAGTGGCCAGACATAAGTGGCCAGACCCCAGTGGCCAGACACCTGTGGCCAGACACCAGTGGTCAGACACAAGTGGCCAGACATAAGTGGCCAGACATCAGTGGCCAGACACCAGTGGTCAGACACCAGTGGCCAGACACCAGTGGCCAGACATCAGTGGCCAGACACCAGTGGCCAGACATCAGTGGTCAGACAGTGGTAAGACACCAGTGGCCAGACACCAGTGGTCAGACACCAGTGGCCAGACATCAGTGGCCAGACACCAGTGGCCAGACACCCGTGGCCAGACACCCGTGGTCAGACCCCAGTGGCCAGTCACACGTGGTCAGACCCCAGTGGCCAGACACCAGTGGTCAGACACCAGTGGTCAGACACCAGTAGTCAGACACCAGTAGTCAGACACCAGTGGTCAGACACCAGTAGTCAGACACCAGTAGTCAGACACCAGTGGTCAGACACAAGTGGCCAGACACCAGTGGTCAGACACCCGTGGACAGACACCAGTGGTCAGACACCCATGGCCAGACACAAGTAGTCAGACACTCGTTGCCAGACACCAGTGGCCAGACACCAGTGGTAAGACACCCATGGCCAGACACCAGTAGTCAGACACCCGTGGCCAGACACCCGTGGTCAGACCCCAGTGGCCAGACACCCATGGCCAGACACCAGTAGTCAGACACCAGTAGTCAGACACCCGTGGCCAGACACCCGTGGTCAGACCCCAGTGGCCAGACACCCGTGGCCAGACACCAGTGGCCAGACACCAGTGGTAAGACACCCATGGCCAGACACCCGTGGTCAGACCCCAGTGGCCAGACACCAGTGGCCAGACACCCGTGGCCAGACATCAGTGGTATGACACCAGTGGCCAGACACCAGTGGTCAAAGGCAACTGGGAAACAGACACAAGTGTTGACATTGTCTCAGCTATATTGATGAATTTGGATATACTGGTCATATCTGTACTGAAGGTGTCTCCACTGTAAGAGTGTTAGAAATACCTTGGGATGACATTATCAGAGAAGTAGAATCTCTCCTGGAGGGCGTGGATGTCGAAGATGATGATCTGTGCGGGTCCCTTGGCGGTGAGCGGGATGGCAGACAGCAGAGTTGCCAGGGTCTGAAAGTAGGTCATCATTTAGGTCATCATGTGTTTCAGCAAGTCAGTCATCATGCAGGTCAAAACGTAGGTCATCATGTTGGTCATCACGTAGGTCATCACAAAGGTCATCATGTTGGTCATCACGTAGGTCATCATGTAGGTCATCATGTATTTTAGCAAGTCAGTCATCACGCAGGTCATAACGCAGGTCATAACATAGGTCATCATGCAGGTCATAACAAAGGTCATCATGTAAGTCAATACTTAGGTCATCATGTAGGTCATTATGTTGTTATCATGTACGTCATAACGTAGGTCATAAGGTAGGTCATCATGCAGGTCATAACGTAGGTCATCATGTAAGTCAATACGTAGGTCCTTATGTTGGTCATCATGCGGGTCATAACGTAGGTCATCATGTAAGTCAATACAAAGGTCATCATGTAAGTCAATACGTAGGTCATCATGTTGGTCATCATGTAGGTCATTATGTGTTTCAGCAAGTCAGTCATCATGCAGGTCATGACGTAGGTCACAATGTTGGTCATCACATAGGTCATCACATAGGTCATTGTGTAGGCCATTATGTAGGTTATCACATAGGTCATCACATAAGTCATCATGTTGGTCATCATGTAGGTCACCATGTTGGTCATCACACAGGTCATCACATAGGTATTTACATTGGTTATCACATAGGTCATCACATGAGTCATCACATGAGTCATCACATAGGTCATCATGTTGGTCATCACATGGGTCATCATGTCGGTCATCACGTAGATCATCATATAGGTCATCACATAGGTCATCATGTAGGTCATAACATCGATCATCATGTTGGTCATCACATAGGTCATCATGTTGGTCATCATATAGGTCATCACATAGGTCATCGTGTAGGTCAACACATAGGTCATGTAGGTCATCACATAAGTCATCATGTTGGTCATCACGTAGGTCATCACAAAGGTCATCATGTTGGTCATCATGTTGGTCATCATGTAGGTCATCATGTGTGTCATCACATAGGTCATCATGTTGGTCATCACTTAGATCATCATATAGGTCATTACATAGGTCATCATGTTGGTCTTTACATAGGTCATCCGTAGGTATTTACATTGGTCATCACATAGGTGAGTGAGTGAGTATGGTTTTACGCCGCTTTTAGCAATATTCCAGCAATATCACGGCGGGGGACACCAGAAATGGGCTTCACACATTGTACCCATGTCGAGAATCGAACCCGGGTCTTCGGCGTGACGAGCGAATGCTTTAACCACTAGGCTACCCGACCGCCCCTTCATCACATAGGTCATCACATGAGTCATCATGTTGGTAATCAAATAGGTCATCATGTTGATCATCACATAGGTCATCATGTTGGGCATCACGTAGATCATCACATAGGTCATCACATAGGTCATCACATGGGTCATCATGTTGGTCATCACATAGGTCATCACGTGGGTAATCATGTGTTTCAGCAAGTCAGTGATCATGCAGGTCTTCACATAGGTCAGAGCAGAGTTACATGTATTTCAGAGCACGAGTGATAAATGACTGTGATAAGATTTCGTGCTTCTCCTGACACTGACATCTTTTGTAAAGCAAGCTTAAAAGATATTCTATGCATGCTTTACCAAATCCACAAATCTTATGATTTTGTCTTTTTGTCAAGAAGGATGTGGAACCCCACTACTGACATTGGAAGAAGATGACAGCCTAGAAGATGTCGGACCACGTTCCCTTGGGGCTTTGCACAGAACAGACGTTATCCAGAATCACACATGCAGGTGATACCACCACCAACTACAGGCTTCAAGCAAATTACTATGAGTCTGAATAAGGTAAAGCACCAACCTAGTCATCCCCGCTCTCTCCCATGTGTTTCGAAAATGGAAATTAAATAAGGAGTGATGAGACAGGCTGGTTGATCACGTGTTTCCGGTGCACTTGCTTATCAGAGGATTGGGTGAGATGATTTCTGTTCACCGGAAATTTCCAATACATTTCGAGAATAAGAAGAGACAAGAGTTTGCCACTAACTTGGCTATATCCCCCGCCCCTGTTGCAGAATTTATGACATAATTATGTCTATACAAACCCTAACCTTTTTAACCGAGGTGGAACTTGTCATGGAAATTGTAAAAAAAAGATGAGTTTGAAACCTAAGTCCATCTTGTTGCCATGGAAACGTAAAAAATAAATATTTCTAAAATTTCTCAATGGCAAAAGGCACCAGTTCAGCATGTACCTGAATGATCTGCAAAGTTTGATGAAAAAATATTGAATGGTTTATGAGTTATGCTCCGGAAACAAACCCTACCCTTACAGAACCTAAGTCCATCTTGTTGCCATGGAAACGTAAAAAATAAATATTTCTAAAATTTCTCAATAGCAAAAGGCACCAGTTCAGCATGTACCTGACAGACCTGCAAAGTTTGATGAAAAAATATTGAACGGTTTATTAGTTATGCTCCGGAAACGAACCCTACCCTCACAGAACCGAAGTCCATCTTGTTGCCATGCAAACGTAAAAAATAAAAAATTCTAAAATTTCTCAATAGCAAAAGGCACCAGTTCATCATGTACCTGACAGACCTGCAAAGTTTGATGAAAAAATATTGAACGGTTTATGAGTTATGCTCCGGAAACAAACCCTACCCTCACAGAACCTAAGTCCATCTTGTTGCCATGGAAACGTAAAAAAAAAAAAAAAATCTAAAATTTCTCAGTAGCAAAAGGCACCAGTTCAGCATGTACCTGACAGACCTGCAAAGTTTGATGAAAAAATATTGAACGGTTTATGAGTTATGCTCCGGAAACAAACCCTACCCTCACAGAACCTAAGTCCATCTGATTGCCATGCAATCGTAAAAAATAAAAATTTCTAAAATTTCTCAATAGCAAAAGGCACCAGTTCAGCATGTACCTGACAGACCTGCAAAGTTTGATGAAAAAATATTGAACGGTTTATGTGTTATGCTCCGGAAACGAAACGTGATGGACGGACGGACGGAGCCCATTTCTATATCCCCTGCCAACTTCGTTGGGGATAATAAGCAAATAAGTAAGAGTCAGGATGAGGTAAAATATATAATCATGCCAAATTGTGATTGCCTTAGCGACCTGATTTGAGAACTGACCTTAGCTGTGGCGATCTGACCTTCCCTATCCACACGCTCCATTGTCCCAGTTGGGAAGTACGGCAGGATGAAGTGAAAGGACTTCGCCAGGTACCTAGGGCAGAATGAACACAAAGTCAAGGTCACATCCAGAACGTCACACGTCAATACTGCAGAACGTCACAAGTCAATACTGCTGAACATCACATGTCAATACTGCAGAACGTCACATGTCAATACTGCTGAACATCACATGTCAATACTGCAGAACGTCACACGTCAATACTGCAGAACATCACACGTCAATACTGCAGAACGTCACACGTCAATACTGCTGAACATCACACGTCAATACTGCAGAACATCACATGTCAATACTGCAGAACGTCACACGTCAATACTGCAGAACGTCACACGTCAATACTGCAGAACATCACATGTCAATACTGCAGAACGTCACACGTCAATACTGCTGAACATCACAAGTCAATACTGCAGAACGTCACACGTCAATACTGCTGAACATCACAAGTCAATACTGCAGAACATCACATGTCAATACTGCAGAACGTCACACGTCAATACTGCAGAACGTCACACGTCAATACGGCAGAACATCACATGTCAATACTGCAGAACATCACACGTCAATACTGCAGAACATCACACGTCAATACTGCAGAACATCACACGTCAATACTGCAGAACATCACATGTCAATACTGCAGAACATCACACGTCAATACTGCAGAACATCACACGTCAATACTGCAGAACATCACACGTCAATAACTAGTGTACAATTACTGTATGTCATATACAAGTGTACAATTACTGTATGTCATATACAAGTGTACAATTTCTGTATGTCATATACAAGTGTCCAACTTCTGTATGTCATATACAAGTGTACAATTACTCTATGTGATATACAAGTGTACAATTACTCTATGTCACATACAAGTGTTCAATTGCTGTATGTCATATGCAAGTCCTAATGTATGCTGCAGCACTCTGTGTTATGTTCCAGTGTATGCTGCTGCACTCTGTGCTATGTTCCTAGTGTATGCTACTGCACTCTGTGCTATGCTCCTAGTGTATGCTACTACACTCTGTGCTATGTTCCTAGTGTATGCTGCAGCACTCTGTGTTATGTTCCAGTGTATGCTGCTTCACTCTGTGTTATGTTCCTAGTGTATGCTGCAGCACTCTGTGCTATGTTCCAGTGTATGCTACTGCACTCTGTGCTATGTTCCTAGTGTATGCTGCTGCACTCTGTGCTATGTTCCTAGTGTATGCTGCTGCACTCTGTGCTATGTTCCAGTGTATGCTACTGCACTCTGTGCTATGCTCCAAGTGTATGCTCCTGCACTCTGTGCTATGTTCCTAGTGTATGCTGCAGCCCTCTGTGTTATGTTCCAGTGTATCCTGCAGCACTCTGTGCTATGTTCCAGTGTATGCTGCAGCACTCTGTGTTATGTTCCAGTGTATGCTGCAGCACTCTGTGTTATGTTCCAGTGTATGCTGCTGCACTCTGTGTTATGTTCCTAGTGTATGCTGCAGCACTCTGTGCTATGTTCCTAGTGTATGCTGCAGCACTCTGTGTTATGTTCCAGTGTATGCTGCTGCACTCTGTGCTATGTTCCTAGTGTATGCTGCTGCACTCTGTGCTATGTTCCTAGTGTATGCTGCAGCCCTCTGTGTTATGTTCCAGTGTATCCTGCAGCACTCTGTGTTATGTTCCAGTGTATGCTACTGCACTCTGTGCTATGTTCCAGTGTATGCTACTGCACTCTGTGCTATGTTCCAGTGTATGCTGCAGCACTCTGTGCTATGTTCCTAGTGTATGCTGCAGCACTGTGTTATGTTCCAGTGTATGCTGCTGCACTCTGTGCTATGTTCCTAGTGTATGCTGCAGCACTGTGTTATGTTCCAGTGTATGCTGCAGCACTCTGTGCTATGTTCCAGTGTATGCTGCAGCACTCTGTGTTATGTTCCAGTGTATGCTGCAGCACTCTGTGTTATGTTCCAGTGTATGCTGCAGCACTCTGTGTTATGTTCCAGTGTATGCTGCAGCACTCTGTGCTATGTTCCAGTGTATGCTGCTGCACTCTGTGTTATGTTCCTAGTGTATGCTGCAGCACTGTGTTATGTTCCAGTGAATGCTGCTGCACTCTGTGCTATGTTCCAGTGTATGCTACTGCACTCTGTGCTATGTTCCTAGTGTATGCTGCAGCACTCTGTGTTATGTTCCAGTGTATGCTGCAGCGCTCTGTGTTATGTTCCAGTGTATGCTGCAGCACTCTCTGTTATGTTCCAGTGTATGCTACTGCACTCTGTGTTATGTTCCAGTGTATGCTGCAGCACTCTGTGTTATGTTCCAGTGTATGCTGCAGCACTCTGTGTTATGTTCCAGTGTATGCTGCAGCACTCTGTGCTATGTTCCAGTGTATGCTGCTGCACTCTGTGTTATGTTCCTAGTGTATGCTGCAGCAATCTGTGCTATGTTCCAGTGTATGCTGCTGCACTCTGTGTTATGTTCCTAGTGTATGCTGCTGCACTCTGTGCTATGTTCCAGTGTATGCTGCTGCACTCTGTGTTATGTTCTTAGTGTATGCTGCTGCACTCTGTGCTATGTTCCAGTGTATGCTGCTGCACTCTGTGTTATGTTCCTAGTGTATGCTGCTGCACTCTGTGTTATGTTCCAGGGTATGCTGCTTCACTCTGTGCTATGTTCCTAGTGTATGCTGCTGCACTCTGTGCTATGTTCCAGGGTATGCTGCTGCACTCTGTGCTATGTTCCAGTGTATGCTGCTGCACTCTGTGCTATGTTCCAGTGTATGCTACTGCACTCTGTGCTATGTTCCTAGTGTATGCTGCGGCACTCTGTGTTATGTTCCAGTGTATGCTGCTGCACTCTGTGCTATGTGCCAGTGTATGCTGCAGCACTCTGTGCTATGTTCCTAGTGTATGCTGCAGCACTCTGTGTTATGTTCCAGTGTATGCTGCTGCACTCTGTGCTATGTTCCAGTGTCAACCTACCTTGGGAAAGCATACAGGACAGAAAGTTGTTCAAATATGACTGCCGGAGAGTGGAAACTTCCCAGAAATATCACTGAAAAAAACGTCACTTGATGAGATAAGGAACAGGACCCTCACAGTCAGATGTGTCTAAATCTCTCCTACACAGAGTCAGATGTGCCTAAATCCCTCCCACACAGTCAGATGTGCCTAAATCTCTCCCTCACAGTCAGATGTGCCTAAATCCCTCCCACACAGTCAGATGTGCCTACATCTCTCCTACACAGACAGATGTGCCTAAATCCCTCCCACACAGTCAGATGTGCCTAAATCCCTCCCACACAGTCAGATGTGCCTAAATCCCTCCCACACAGTCAGATGTGCCTAAATCTCTCCCACACAGTCAGATGTGCCTAAATCCCTCCCACACAGTCAGATGTGCCTAAATCTCTCCTACACAGACAGATGTGCCTAAATCCCTCCTACACAGACAGATGTGCCTAAATCTCTCCCGCACAGACAGATGTGCCTAAATATCTCCTACACAGACGGATGTGCCTAAATATCTCCTACACAGACGGATGTGCCTAAATGTTTCACACATAGACAGATGTGCCTAAATCTCTCCCACACACACAGACGTGCCTAAATCTCTCACACAGAGGTGTTGAAATTGCAGCAAAACTTAATGGGCCTGATCGGAATACAGAAATCTACTAAGATTTAAATGCAAATAGTATGAAACAACTGCGAATAAATAGACTGCAAGTGATTCTGTTGCATTTGATTGTCTAAGCAAGCAAATAGGCCACACCTGCTAATAGACAACTGCATCCTGATTGGTTGATTAACATCACTTATTTTGTATTGTTGTCACTAGTTTTTTGAGCTTATGATTAAATAAACAGTCTGTGAAGTTAATACTTTTTTAAGAATTGACTTCAATTCCAAACATTAAAACCAGTGTATCTCCTTAAAACACAAAAAACAGAACTCAATTCTTAAATGTTGAGTAGTATACAAACTGCAGTACCATCTTTCCCAGCCATGTCCTTCACGTCCTGAATGAAGAGGTTAGGGAAGCCATCGTGGAACTTTTCCCACTGGATTGTCTGTTTGTACTCCACATTTCTCTGGGTTGACACAGAGATGGACCGTTCAGCTCTCTGAAACATGACAGTGTGGTGTGATGGCGGCTCTCTGAAACATGACAGTGTGGTGTTTGTGTGATGGCAGCTCTCTGAAACATGACAGTGTGGTGTTTGTCTGATGGCGGCTCTCTGAAACATGACAGTGTGGTGTTTGTGTGATGGCGGCTCTCTGAAATATGACAGTGTGGTGTTTGTGTGATGGCTGCTCTCTGAAACATGACAGTGTGGTGTTTGTGTGATGGCGGCTCTCTGAAACATGACAGTGTGGTGTATGTGTGATGGCGGCTCTCTGAAACATGACAGTGTGGTGTTTGTGTGATGGCAGCTCTCTGAATCATGACAGTGTGGTGTATGTGTGATGGCGGCTCTCTGAAACATGACAGTGTGGTGGTTGTCTGATGGCGGCTCTCTGAAACATGACAGTGTGGTGTGATGGCGGCTCTCTGAAACATGACAGTGTGGTGTTTGTGTGATGGCGGCTCTCTGAAACATGACAGTGTCGTGTTTGTGTGATGGCGGCCCTCTGAAACATTACAGTGTGGTGTTTGTGTGATGGCGGCTCTCTGAAACATGACAGTGTGGTGTATGTGTGATGGCAGCTCTCTGAAACATGACAGTGTGGTGTTTGTGTGATGGCAGCTCTCTGAAACATGACAGTGTGGTGTTTGTGTGATAGCGGCTCTCTGAAACATGACAGTGTGGTGTTTGTCTGATGGCGGCTCTCTGAAACATGACAGTATGGTGTTTGTGTGATGGCGGCTCTCTGAAACATGACAGTGTGGTGTTTGTGTGATGGCGGCTCTCTGAAACATGACAGTGTGGTGTTTGTGTGATGGCGGCTCTCTGAATCATGACAGTGTGGTGTTTGTGTGATGGCGGCTCTCTGAAACATGACATTGTGGTGTTTGTGTGATGGCGGCTCTCTGAAACATGACAGCGTGGTGTTTGTGTGATGGCGGCTCTCTGAAACATGACAGTGTGGTGTACGTGTGATGGTGGTGAGACTGAAACATGACAGTGTGGTGTTTGTGTGATGGCGGCTCTCTGAATCATGACAGTGTGGTGTTTGTGTGATGGCGGCTCTCTGAAGCATGACAGTGTGGTGTTTGTGTGATGGCGGCTCTCTGAAACATGACAGTGTGGTGTTTGTGTGATGGCAGCTCTCTGAAACATGACAGTGTGGTGTTTGTCTGATGGCGGCTCTCTGAAACATGACAGTGTGGTGTTTGTGTGATGGCGGCTCTCTGAAATATGACAGTGTGGTGTTTGTGTGATGGCTGCTCTCTGAAACATGACAGTGTGGTGTTTGTGTGATGGCGGCTCTCTGAAACATGACAGTGTGGTGTATGTGTGATGGCGGCTCTCTGAAACATGACAGTGTGGTGTTTGTGTGATGGCAGCTCTCTGAATCATGACAGTGTGGTGTATGTGTGATGGCGGCTCTCTGAAACATGACAGTGTGGTGGTTGTCTGATGGCGGCTCTCTGAAACATGACAGTGTGGTGTTTGTGTGATGGCGACTCTCTGAAACATGACAGTGTGGTGTATGTGTGATGGCAGCTCTCTGAAACATGACAGTGTGGTGTTTGTGTGATGGCAGCTCTCTGAATCATGACAGTGTGGTGTTTGTGTGATGGCGGCTCTCTGAAACATGACAGTGTGGTGTTTGTGTGATGGCGGCTCTCTGAAACATGACAGTGTGGTGTTTGTGTGATGGCGGCTCTCTGAAACATGACAGTGTGGTGTTTGTGTGATGGCGGCTCTCTGAAACATGACAGTGTGGTGTTTGTGTGATGGCGGCTCTCTGAAACATGAAACTGTGGTGTGATGGCGGTGAGACTGAAACATGACAGTGTGGTGTATGTGTGACAATAGTGGGGTTGAAACATGGTGTTCGTGTGATGGTGAGGAGACTGAAACATGACAGTGTGATGTGTGTGTGATGGTGGTGAGACTGAAACATGACAGTGTGGTGTACGTGTGATGGCGGTGAGACTTAAACATGACAGTGTGGTGTGTGTGTGATGGTGGTGAGACTGAAACATGACAGTGTGGTGTACGTGTGATGGTGAGAAGACTGAAACATGACAGTGTGGTGTACGTGTGATGGCGGTGAGACTTAAACATGACAGTGTGGTGTGTGTGTGATGGTGGTGAGACTGAAACATGACAGTGTGGTGTACGTGTGATGGTGAGAAGACTGAAACATGACAGTGTGGTGTACGTGTGATGGCGGTGAGACTTAAACATGACAGTGTGGTGTACGTGTGATGGTGGTGAGACTGAAACATGACAGTGTGGTGTACGTGTGATGGCGGTGAGACTTAAACATGACAGTGTGGTGTGTGTGTGATGGTGGTGAGACTTAAACATGACAGTGTGGTGTACGTGTGATGGCGGTGAGACTTAAACATGACAGTGTGGTGTGTGTGTGATGGTGGTGAGACTGAAACATGACAGTGTGGTGTACGTGTGATGGTGAGAAGACTGAAACATGACAGTGTGATGTACATGTGATGGCGGTGAGACTTAAACATGACAGTGTGGTGTACGTGTGATGGCGGTGAGACTTAAACATGACAGTGTGGTGTACGTGTGATGGTGAGAAGACTGAAACATGACAGTGTGGTGTACGTGTGATGGCGGTGAGACTTAAACATGACAGTGTGGTGTACGTGTGATGGCGGTGAGACTTAAACATGACAGTGTGGTGTACGTGTGATGGTGAGAAGACTGAAACATGACAGTGTGGTGTACGTGTGATGGTGGTGAGACTGAAACATGACAGTGTGGTGTACGTGTGATGGC